TTAAAAATAAAGTTGGGATCTAATCGTCTTGATAGGGTAATTATTTATTTTAAAGTTTAAGGGTTAATTTCACCCTGCTTGACGGATCGGAAGGGAGTTTTGCTTATAGTGTACTTTGGTGAGTGTATTTATGCTTTTTTAAATTTAAAATAAAGTTGGGATCTAGTCGTCTTCATAGGGTAATTATTTATTTTGAAGTTTAAGGGTTAATTTAACCCTGCTTGACGGGTCGAAAGGGATTTTCGCTTACAGTTTACTTTGGTGAGTGTATTTATGATTTTCTAAATTTAAAATAAAGTTGGGATCTAATCGTCTTCATAGGGTAATTATTTATTTTAAAGTTTAAGGGTTAATTTCACCCTGCTTGACGAGTCGGAAGGGATTTTCGCTTACAGTTTACTTTGATGAGTGTATTTATGATTTTTTAAATTTAAAATAAAGTTGGGATCCAATCGTCTTCATAGGGTAATTATTTATTTTGAATTTTAAGGGTTAAGTTTACCCTGTTGTATACATTTCACAGGATAATTATTTTATGAATTTTATGGGTTAATTTTACCTTGCTCAACGGATCCGAAGAAATGTTTACCTATAGCGTATGTTAGTGTATTTAGTTTTTAAATGTAAAATTAAATTTCGATCTGATTTCCTTCGTCGGATAAATACTTTTATCAATTTTGAGGGTTATTTTCAACCGTATATTAATTGTTTGTCGATAATTAAGTGTAAAATATATATTGACAATATTATTAAAATAGTTGTATGCCGGACGCCACTGTTTTCCCGATCGGGTGTTTTCGGTTATTTTTACTGCTAAAAGTTACTGCTAAAAGTTACTGCTAACTTCACACCGGTACAGATAATGTAGTTTCGAATCCTGCCGAAGGAAATGGTTTTTAAAATTTTTCCTGTGGCTTGTTTTGAATCTTAGTGGGTTTAGAATTTTTTCTACATTTTCATTTGATTTTTCATAATTTTCGGATACTACCGATGCATTTTTCACTACTGGATTTGTCAGGTCGAATTATTAAAAAAAATAAGCGTTTTCGAAGAAGTATAATATAAAAAGGAAAACATCTACATTTTAATCGGGATGTCTCGCTAAATTAAAAATAAAACCCATAAATTAATTTAATTGGTAATTATTTTTGTTTCTCTTACAAAATTGTTTTCATTCAAAATATTTTTAAACAATAATAATATAACACCATGTAGACAGTTTTATTATTCTTCGAATCCAAATATAAAATTTATTTTCATTTGTTAGAATTTTTCCAAGAACGAAATTAAGTTTAAACATTTATAAGTCGTATGACGAACGAAAATATATTCTTGAAAATTGAGAGTGAAAAGAACATTTTATTTTTAAACCTCTGTGATCTAAAATTAATCTTTGGTAGTATACAAAAAAATGGAAAATAACTAGAGGAGATGAACAAATTAAGCGTTATGTAATAAAACGTCATTAACAACTTATATAAAATCTTAAAGCATAAAATGGTTGTGCCACGTACAGAGACTACATCGAAATGAACAACCAAAAAGCGTTCTTCTGATTAATAATAAAAAAAAGGAAGACTAGAAAAAGTTGAGAAAAATAAATCAGTTACCAGAGAATAAAGACTGGAATGAAAAAGCAAGAAATGAAAGAAATGGAGAAAGGTTGTTATTCAAACTCTGTAGATCAGATTTATTATATTGAATTTAACAGGAATTGCCCCTTCTTGGCCCACTAGAATTGTTTTTTAATTAAAACTAATGTTCGCTCAGTGGTCGAAATTCGCCCATACTCGTTATAGATTTTTTTTTATTCTTATACATTCATTCCTTCATTATATATCTAAGACCATAAACTTTTATACAGGGTGTCCCTTTAGTACGTAATTGTTCAATATTTCAATTTGTGTTATTGACGCGCACACAAGTTTTAAATAAAAGTTATATCGATTTAAAAAATACATATTTTAAAAACATATTTGTATATGCAGGGTGTTGCGTTTTTGCCTGGTAAATAAAAATGTGTGTTTTTTTAAATGGAATACCCTATATTTTATTTTATTTTAAGAATAGTTTGGTAATATTGTATTCAATTCAAAAATGTTTTTAAAAAATATTACAGTTTTGCCAAGCAATTATTTTTTTTTAATTAGAAAATGATGCAAACCTCAAATTAAATTATCATAATTTAGGTAGGTTTACATTGATTTCAAAATTGTTTATTATACAGACTTACAAAATACCAAGCTAACGAATAGTGGTGATAGAACTGGTTTATTTTATACAGAGTGTTTTGAAACATGACTTAAATATGACTAATCTTTTAGTTCAATTTTTTCAAATACGATACCCTGCATGTAATCTTAACATAAAATTCCTCATACATTTGCCTATACAACGATACCAATATGTTAGCCAATACCACATACACAGTCCAAACCAAGGGCGGTTCCAAGACGAATTTTAAGGGGGGGGGTCATTACCTGTAAATATTATCTTTTTAGCATATTGTTTTGAACAAAAGGCTCATAAAGAAATTTCTTCCTGGGAGGGGTCATGGCCCCATGCCCCCCTGGAGTCGTCCAAACAGTGCCTAATTGATTGATATTTATTTTATTAAATACGAAGACATTTTTAATATAAAAGTTGTATGAGCATTTTTTTAAAGCAAAACACTCTAGAGGTAGTTATACATATTTGATTGGTTTCATATTATCAAACAATTTTAATTAACTTCATTTTTTGTTATGTTATATATAGGGTATGTCAAAACGTAAGGTTACAATACCATGTATTAATTAATTGATGATATAATATATAGGGTATTCTATATAAAAAAAATGAGAAAATCGTTATCCCGCATTTTGACACAACCTATATAGAACATAGCAAATAAATAAAATCTATTAAAATTGTTTGACGATGTGAAAACAATTAAATATGAATAACTAGCTGCAGGGTGTGTTGCTTTAAAAATGTATAAGTTTGGTCAGCTCCAAGTTTATGGACCAACCTGTATATTTGAGAATATTTAATAAACATTGTCATACAACTTTAATATTTTTTTTTTCGTATTTCCAATAATACTGCTATCGATCAATTACGCACTGATGGGACATCCTGCATATGTTTTATTGGCTAATATGTTGATATAGTTGGATAGGTAAATTTATAAGGAATTGTATGCTAAAATAATATATACGGTGTTGTATTTAAAAAAATTGAGTAAATTAAACATAGAATTAGCCATATTTAAGACAAGTTTCAAGGCACTCTGTATAAAATAAACCAGTTCTATCACCTCTGTTCGTTAGCTTAGTATCTTATAAGTCTAAATTTAAAACAATTTTAAAACCATTGTAAACGTATCTAAATTATGATAAGTTAATTTTTGGTCTGCATTATTCACTAATTTAAAACAAATTATTTGGCAACACTGTAATATTTTTTAAAAACGTTTTAGGGTTAAATACAGTATTACCAAACCAAAATAAAATAAAATACAGGATATTCTGTATAAAAGAACATACATTTTTATTTGCCAGTCGTAAACGCAATACCCTGTATATCCAAAAATATTTTTAGAATACGTATTTTTCAAATCCATATAACTTTTATTTAAAATATGTTTGCGTGACTATAACACAAATTGAAATAATGAAACAATTACGCACTAATGTACTTACAATACAATATAGTAACTCATAATTTAAAAACCCTCATTTACTGATATGAAACACAATTTTTATATTTAGGTTACTCTAAAAAGGGAGGGTCGAGTGTGGATAACCCCCATCGCTCTACTGTATACATCCTCTGCTTGATAATCATTAACAGCCCAGAAATGGTATAAAAAAGGAGGTGGGGTCAGGAGGTCAGCTTACCCTTCGAATTTTTCAAATTTCTTAATTATATACACCCAATATCTCAAAATACTCGAAATATGAAAAAAAAAAAAAGATTCACCCTCTCACCTTAGAAAAGGGGAAATATTTTTCTCCTCAAAGTTCAATCCATCGCTTGATTGTCTGAGTTTTATGGTTTTTCCTTTTATCTTATGTCTTAATACCTTTTTTGCGCAGTGATGTATTTATTGCTGCTATTTCTGACTGGAATACTCTCGCGTCGCATGTTTGCCAGAGCTTAGTGAGATTCTTATCTTTGACTTAGTGCTATATACCTACTGCTAACCCTTCATGGATTTTGAAATTCTGTATAAATAGAGGTTGTTTCCGTTTACGCTTCCCTGTCTCGTATACCTACTTGTATTGCTGTTGAATACTTTCTTATGGTTCCCGTGTCACTCAAGCTGCTTGCCTTTGAATATCGTTGAGCTTTCGAATGGCTCCAGATTGCCGAGGTTGTTTATAACTATGACATTTAAATTTTAACCCAAATGTCTATTCAATATTCCATCAATTTAGTTTTGGCTATAACCAATCCTAGTCAGGGCCGCCGAGGGCCAGGTCGGGACCCGGGACAATTCTCCAAGTCAGGCCCCGCGACAATTTTATAACCAATTAGGCCTTTTTTAATATCTCATTTCTAAACAAAAAGGTTCTTTAAGCAAAAACTTCTCCTCCTCTTTACTGAATCTCTCTAAAAAAATGGTCTTCAAGCAAAAACACTTCTCCTACTCTTTACTGAATCTGTAAAAAAAAAGTTCTGCCCTCTTGTGCGAAACTGCTTGTCGGCCCTGATCCTAGTTAAAATAGACATGGCAATAATGTAATATAATAAGTTAATTGAAAGTAAGACCAATGCAGCATTAAAAATAAGAAAAAGAATATATTTGATAGATAAATCATTACTAGATTTATTATTGACGCAAGTTATAATTTTAACCAAATAATACAGAAAATAAAATTAAAAATAACATCCAGTTATTTTTATGACCCAGGATTGATTTTAACCAAATTTTTACAAAATAGACACCTTAAATATATTATTTTTAAAATATTATGTACTCACCTAGTTGCTTAAGTATTTGTATTTTATTGTAGATTCTATTTTTGGTCTATTATCGATAATGGCTCTCTGTCAATCACCGTAATGACTTGTTCATCGCCAGTTCAATGGTCTTTCAAAATAAACCAAAACAATTCTCTTGGTAAGCTGGAATTTATTATCAGAAAAAATATTCAAATATTTTTTAGTTTTGTGAACGAGGAACTTATATCACTTATATTACTGATGCCTTTTTTAGATTCCTTTTCAATGCCTTGGACAGTAAATGACACTTCAACTTTAAATTTTAACTCTGCCAAGGGATTATATAGATTAAATTTTATTTCTGTTACGAATGACACCTATTTACATATATACATCAGTACTGAAGTTGGAGGACCGCTTGTTTTAACAGAAACGAAATCATCAAAAATGTACATACATAAAAGAAGAAAGAAAATAATAGTTAAATGGCACCCGAGGTAAGAATTTTTAAATTTATTGGCATATAAATCCAAATTTAATCTGAAAATTCAAATGTCAAATTACAAACAATGATAAAATGTAATAGTGATATTAATTTAGTTTGAAGTGCTATGAAGAAAATGGTAAGTTCTTATAAGAGTTATTGCTTCGCTGACAATAGCAAGAAATTTGTACTAATATTAGACATTCTGGTTTAATGCTATAAGACACAATTTTAAAGAAATTACCATAAATTTTTTTATGTGCAAAGAAAATAAGTGGCACTAGCCCTGGGTTAGCATACTGTTAAGCTGGTTTTTGGTATCTCAATATATTTTAACTCAACTTTTACAATAACTATACAATTGATAAAATTAACGTATAACGTCTATCATAAAACTGACTGCCTGACGCGACGTCAGGATCACCGACTTATATGACTTGCTTTCACCTTCTCGAATCTTCTCGAACTGTGCAAATTTTTCTTGACGTGGAATAATATTTCTCGAATATTCCCCCTTCTTCTTTTACTCGTACCTTTACTTATGATCGCAGCACGCTGCAGGACGCTGCGTAACATTACTCCATGCTCTCTGGTTATTCGCCCCAAATAATTTGATTGCTGGTACCTGGTTACAACTAACGGCAAGGATCCGGACCACGGCATGGCGCTAACTTTCCAATGTGAACTACCTTGGATTTACTTCCTGCTGACAGCTGAATGCGGTAGATTAGGTCGATGATTTTTCTTAAGGCCGTCGTAGGGGCTTTCCCAGTTCCGTTGCGATTTCTGACAAAATCCTCCTCGGTGCTTGGGATTGCACAGCCGTACCGGGTCGCCTCTCTCAAAATGTGTCCCAGTGGCACTCCTGTCGATTCTAGCTTCTGCTTTATCACTGTTGGCTTTCAGTCAATCCCGAGCTAATCCGTAGACCTTTGTCCTGCCATTGCATGTATCACATTTTTTACACCAATCCGTTACATCCCGTCGGCAATTGACCCAATAAAATCTTTCCCGAACTCGTGCCAGCATCCTTTTAGGACCAAAATGTCCTCCCGAACGGCTACAACGAAGCTCCTCCAACACATACCATTTGGCAGGCTCTCCCACTTTCGGTGCAATAGGTCATCGTGAAGATACAGGGAATCCCACTGAGTCCAATATCCTTTAATAACTCCACTGTATTTGGCTATCTTTTGTCAAGTAGGTGTAACTTTATTTTTGAGCCATTCTCAGACAACTTTCAAGTCATTATCTTTCTTCTGTCCCTTTCTCAGGCTTTCAAGGGTGATTTCTTCATCATCACCCTCTGGTTTGATAGTGATTGCCCGAAGAGTAACTTTATCAACCGGTCCTTCCCGTTCTCTGAGCCCCTTACTGTACCGGCATTCTCGTTTTAAACAGGGTCGCCTGGAGAGAATGTCTGCCTCTACGATGCTCCACTTCTTGATTATTGATAGAAAGCCGGCTCGGTGTGAATGACTGGCTTCTTCGGGATGCATATCTGCTGTGACTATTTCTTGTTAGACTTTATGACGGGCTTCGTAAGATTTATCTATGTGACTTGCCGACCTAATTCTCTGATTCTCGATTTATAGAACGAGCCCTGCTTCTACAGGTTCTTTGAATATGCCCGATTCTTCCACAATTAGAGCATCTCCTGCTTTCATTTTGACTGTTTCGTTGCATATTTTGCAGGATATTTAAGTTTGCTAGAGGGTAGGTTGGAGGATAGCATTAGTATTGGCCTTCTCACTTACCTGTGATTTAATGTATCTTACTTTTGCGCTAGAAGATCTGAATATGAGTTTTACCACTTCATATTCCTGAGCTGCAATCAGTTTTTCCCTTGGCGTCTTGTGATGTTGTACACGAAGGGCTTGCTGCATTTCCACATCTTTTAGTCCATCAATGAATGCCTGCATGCCAACATCTTCTTGGAAATCTTTGGGCGCCTCTGGATAGGCCAGATGAATCAATCGTTTTATATCGGCCTTGAGTTCCTGTAGACTCTCATTATGTTTCTGGCTACGGACCTTTAGCTGGCTTTGGAATTCCCGTTTCAAATTCTGCTGACCATACCTTGTCTTGGCTTGGACGAGACACGAATAACTGAGTTTCCCTTGAGGGAGTAACTGTAAAACGGTTGCTGCCAGTCCTTGCAGTGACACTATCAATGCAGCCGCCATCTCTTCTTCAGCCCAACCATTGGCTCTAGATGCAGCTTCAAATTATTAAAGGCGATACGTTTCCCATGTTGTCTGACCGTCAAACGTGGGTGGCTTAATGATTTTGCTAGTAAGGCTTTGTGAAACAGTTTTGAATATGGCTACCCCGTTAACGGTGACCGGAGGTATTTTTAACTCCACTTAGTATATCTTGATTACACTCTGATGTACTATCTTTAAAATCGGCTGTAAGATATTTTAAAACAGTGCAAAATTCGAATAATCTTAATATCCGTTTCAAGGAAGAGGTGAAAAATGTTTCGAATAAAATGTATCTGGAAAATTTGTATCGTGAATTGAAATTCTAAACAATTTTTGATAAGATGGGCCTTACTCAATATATTCGATAACTTTACTAGTTATGTGTTGGACTTATCAGATACTTTTTTTTAGTTTAGTTGATCCACAAAATACTGAATATTGTTTGGTTATTCATAACAAGAAAATTTATAAAACCCTATGTAGCGCCCAGTTAGATAAATCTGGAATATTATCATCTAACTTAAATTTCAAGAAATCCAAAGTATCATCCCAATTACTGACTGGCCAGATACTAGGACCTCAAATGTCAACAAAATTTGGTAAACATTTTTTTATTTTATTTTTTATTAATAATATCAGTTATATCACATTTATGTAGCTAGGTAAAATTAAAAAGTATTTACCTGCGTATACAGTACGAGTATATTACTAAAATAAAATGTACATTTTAAAATTTACACACTTAAAATGTGTAAAAATGTTTGTTAAATTATGCGTACACTGACTTAGTTATAATTGGACACCAAACGAGTCGTTATATTTGTTGCTAAATATTGTTCACTTCATTTCAATAACACCCTACATTATAACATCAATTATAGAGGGTGGCTCAAATGTGTGGAATAATGAGTGTAACTTGAAATATTTGAGATATTAAAAAATAATTTTAATAAAAGTTGTTTTGTATTGCCAACGCTAGCGTGTACTTAAACACTCCGATTATTTTTCATTTTTTAATATTATGAAAGATTTCAGGAACCGATGCTTATCCAATAATAGCCTGTATTGGTCAGAAACTTCAGTTCGCTTTTAGTAATCCCAAAATGGATGAGACCTACTACTTTTCACTTTTTGCTACCAATAGGCAGACTAATTTCACCTATCAATATGGTACAATATCAACAAATGGTCGCTTAAAGCCCATTACACTTAAAGATGGAAAAGCGATGTTTAAAAATTTAAAGAAAATGGATGGGGATGCATTATTCAGATATAAGGTAACAATTTCTTATTTCCAGCTTGACAAAATTGGTTGCTTCCTGCCAAAATATTTTTGCATCCGTTTCTTACTCTTTGAGTCGAGGTCGAATTTTTAAGGCTTTGTCGATTTACATAGCATTAACGTCATTAATATCATTCTCTGATCTTATATTTTTTTTGTTGTTCATAGATTGAATTTTCTTGTATGATTTTATTAGATACTTAGAGTTTGTCGCTCATAGAATCTGTTAAATGTATCCTTCTGTCGCAAACGATCACTTTTTTTTTCATGTCGATTTAAATATAAATCAATGTCTAATACATTTGATAGTAATTCAGACGTGTCTTTGGAACGAGAAGCCAGAACTTTTAGAAATTACTCTATTTCATATGGAATTTTATGACAACTTCTTCATTCACGCATCTGCTACGTTCATACTGATATAAAAAGGTTTATATTGACTATATTCAAGCTGATTTGTTATATTATTAAGAATGGAACACATAACAACTGAAAATTATCTGATTAAAAATAAGGCCATTAAACAAACGGTACTTGGGTAAAATATTACTCGTTTCCGAAACAAAGGGTGTTAAAGATGAAAATAAAAATAATAATGACTATTTTTTTTTCACAGCATAATTTTATTAAATTTGGTAAACATTTTTGGTGTCACAAATACACACCTATCAGCAAAACAATCAGTAAAATAAACCTTGCCAATGGCGTACGGCATGGATGAATATGTTACTATTCATCCCCGCTTAATTTTACGCCACTGTCCAAAATCCTATTTGAACTATACTTTTACATGTTTTTTAAATAAATCGTGTACTTTTTATGGGAACTCATAAAGTGATTGGTTGTCAAGATATTCACACTCAAATGTGGGGGTGGCACAAAATTGATCGAAAAACATTTGATCAAAATGAAGATTTGATCGAAAATACATTTTGTCGAATGGCATTTGATCGAAAATACATTTCATCGAATAACATTTGATTTGAAGATATATTTTATCGAATAACAATAGATTAAAAATTAACATTAAAGAAAGTAAAATAAAAGATTCAAACGACACCATGCAACCGTCCGTCTAATCCCAACTACCGGGGAAACTAATCTCAGCTGCTATCAAATTAGGTACTAGTGGCACATTTTTCGATACTCTCGAAGGTAGCAACCTCGTTTAACAAATTTTATCCTAACAATACAGTCAATTTAAAAATTAATATTTTAGAGCTAGACGGTTATTAATTCTCATTGAGATTAAAGCATTGTGATTAATTCGCACAAAATATTATAAAAAAATGAAAAAAATAAATAAATAACTAATTCACTTAACCTGTGCTATTTAAATTAAACTGATTGCTCTCGCACAGGTTAGGTGCGTTAATAAAGCTTTTTTATTATAAAAAATTAAATTAAATTAATTTATCTAACCCATGCGGCCTGCAGCCGTCGCGGTTGCCTCGGAAAAAAATCATAGAAAAAATAAAAAAAATTGCTAATTAACTAACCTGGAGAACTAACCTGGAGCCCTCGAAGGTTGCTTCGCAAAAAGTTTACACGAAATTTTTTTAACTAATTTACCCAACCTGTGCGGCTTGGATCAATTTAATTTTAACTGATTGCTCTCGCACAATTTAGGTAATTTTATTAAGTTTTATTTAAACTTAACTAACTTACCTGACCTGTGCGGTATGAAGCCGTCGCGGTTTGCCTCGCAAAAAAAATTAAAAAAATAAGAAAACTAAAAAACTTAACTAATTTACCTAATCTGTGCTATTTAAATGTAACTGATTGTTCTTGCTCAGGTTAGGTAAGTTAGTTAATTTTTTTTTTATTTTTTCTTTTTTTGTTTATTTGTTTTTTCCAACCAACCAGCGATGACTCTAGGCCGCACCTAACCTGTTTTAATTAACTAGTTTTAATTTTTTGTATTTGGTTTTTTGATCAATTGCTTTTTCTATCAAATCTATTTTTGATCATTTTTCCTTCCGTTCTTTATTCTTTTCGGGCATTTTCCTTTTCGATCAGTTTTCTTTTCGATCATTTTTATTCAATAAAATGCATTCGATCAAATGTTTTCGATCAATTTTGTGTCATCCCAAATGTGAATATTTTTCATTTTATTTGATTAGGCATACGTTTTAGGTGTCATAAGATACACCCATCAGCAAAAAAATAGTTAAATAAACTTTGTCAGTGACGTACGGCATGGGTTTAAAGTTTACGTCACTCTCCAAGAACTTACTTGGATTTTAAATTTTTTGATGTTTTTTTTTTTAAATAAATTATGTACTCTTGTTGGGAATTTATAAAAAAATCCAAAATTACAAAATTAATAAATAAATGAAAATGAAGAATAAGAAAATGGAAACTAATCTCAGCTGCTATCAAATTAGGGCAAATTTTTCGATAATCTCAAAGATAGCAACCTCGGTTAACAAATTTTATCCTAACAATACAGTCAATTTAAAAATTAATATTTTAGAGCTAAACGGTTATTCATTCTCATTGAGATTAAAGCATTGTGATTAATTCGCACAAAATATTATAAAAGAATGAGAAAATTAAAAAAAATAACTAATTTACTTAACCTGTGTTATTTAAATTAAACTGATTGCTCTCGCTCAAGTTAGGTGCGTTAATTAATCTTTTTTATTATAAAAAATTAAATTAAATTAATTTATCTAACCCGTGCGGCCTGGAGCCGTCGCGGTTTTCTCGGAAAAAAATCATAGAAAAATTAAAAAAAAAAATTACTAATTAACTAACCTGGAGAACTAACCTGGAGCCCTCGAAGGGCAAAGGTGAATATTCACTTTATGAATTCTCAATAAGAGTATTTAAAAAATATCAAGAAGTTTAAAATTATAATCCAAATTGGTTTTCCGAAAGTGGTGTTCAATTTGGAGGGGTATTATTAATTCATGCCGTACACCTTTGGCAACGTTTATTGAACTGACACCTAAATATTTTGCCGAATGTAGTAAAATTATACCGAAAAATAAAAAAATTATAAACAAAAATATTTTTTTTATTTTTAGGTTTAACACCCTGTTTGTTTAATCGTCTTATTTTTAATCAGATAATCTTCAATTGCTCTGTATCCCATTATTAGTTAAACCAACGTTATCCAATTCTTTTAAACGTCTTAGAAATTTTTAGTTTTAGCATTCTCTTAACAGGATAGCATTTTTGATTTTTCCAGAAAGTATATGAGAAGGTTGTTTTGATAAAGACATTTTTATTTTCTACTTTATTGAAGTTCATAGTTCACAAATGAAACAACATAACAGCTTTTCCTTCAGCTAAGAAGACGAGGATGGACTAACCGTAATGTAATTTCTTCTAATATTTTTATAACAGTATACCAAATTTAGTTTTGCCATAATCCAAATGTGATGTATTTTGTTATATTCTTTGCAGATCTCCTTATAAACTTTTTTTGTAAGAGAGGAAAATGCTTTATACACACCGGACTCTCAGTAGTGACTGGACTCCCACCCACTAAAATCCCCTCTGAAAATCCTTCTTTACCACGGAAGCATCTGTAGGATATACCTTCGCGGTAAAGATGTGCTCATTCTGTTTTTTTTTAATATTATTAATTTATGCCTTTGGCTCGATGTTTTCTTTTCTCCTGTTTTTTCTTCGCCATTACTTTTTTAACATACATTTTTTTAAGATACCTGATGGCTATTTTATATCCAGATTCCAGACATCTTTATATAGCTCCTTGGACAGCGTTTTCTATTTTTCTTTTTTTTTTGTTTTGTTTATGCGTTTGACCAGCTCCTTTTTCTTCCGTGGATTTTTCGTCTGGCAGCGTTTACATTGTGCTCTAAGGTCTTCGATTTCCACCGTCCACCAATAGGGTATTTTGGATTCCCTTACTTAAAGGGTACAGTTTTTTTACTATCCGGCCAATTGTTTTCGTAAACGTTCCTACACCTAGATTTGATATGTTTGGTATCGATCGCACGTCTTTCTTAAATCTTCCTTTTTGGAAGAGAAATCTTCTCCTTTCGGTGCTGCGTTTGGGCGGCCTTGCTTCAGAAATTTCATATAGGATGTAAATAAAGTCCCCTGCAGAACTTTCCAACTAGCTATTTGTTTATAGATATTATTGCGAACTCTTACTCATTACTACGTTTGGCTCCACTATTATTAAAATATCTACCAAATTTTTGTGCGTAATAATGTCCGTCATATCGTGTGCCAACCTAGTCCTTCAGAGATTTATTTGTTTCTGTTCATTTTTTTTGCCTGCCGTTGGGCCCATTTTTCTCTCCTCTCTTGCTTCTTTTAGTACCTGTTTGAATTTTAAACATTTAGTTTGGTCGTTTCTGTTATCGTATTCTAGAGTGATCGAAGTCCTCATTTCCTGCATATGTCAGATCTGTCGATATCAAAGCATTTGGACGTATGGTATCCAAACATTAGGCATCTATAACACTTTAATAATAAGATTATTTCTCTAATAATGCAGCTTAATCAACCTATGTTGATTCTACCTAGGTTGATTAGGCTTCTTGCTATGCCTGGAGGAGCAATCATTGTCGCTGTGTGGCCTCCAAATCTATTCAGTCTTAATATTATGTCTGTCTTTATACCTTTTAAATTTAGGTCCACGTCTATAGTATCCTCTATAGCCCTATCTTTGTTCGCTTTATCTGTTACAACATCTATGTTGTAGATGTGTAAGACTATCTCGTCTCTTTTTAGGTTTACCTCTGTTCCTTGGACGTTGTCTAAAATTGCCTTTTTCAAAGCGGTGGCCTTACATTCTCCTCCCTTTATTTCCAAAAGGACGTCTCTCTGGGTCATCTTGATGTTTTGAATCTCTATTCCCACGTCTCCTGGGTTGACTAGGCTCTTTATATATTTGACTGCGTACAACTCTCCACTCTTCCTAATAAACAAACGTTCTATCTTTTCCCTATTTACTTTTCTACCCACTTATATATTGATATGGGTCCCTGCCAGTACGTACTTTTTGAATATAGTCTGTATTTACATTATCCCTGCTACAATTTGGATGGTATATACCATTTTGCCTCTAAAGCCTGTTTCAGTTCTTCGACTAGACTGAATACTTCCCTCACGTCTGTTGCTTTCTAGTCTTTCAGCGGTACGACGAATATTGTCTTCCTTTTTTCACGGAGTCTCCGTTTTTACTTATTGTCCATGTCTTTTGGAGCTCATGTAGTCCATACGATCACTATTTGGTCCTACCAGTTCCTTTGCCTGCGGGAACATATCGAACACTTCTTCCACCATCTTATCTTCAATATTGTGTTTGGGTATTTGGGTTCTAGAACCACTACTATATCCTTATTTCCCATGGTATATAGCTCCCTTGTTTTGTTTCTGTTCTTTGAAATGCTCCCTTGGACCATTCTTAATCTATTATGTCAAGGAGTTCATTAATCCCGGTGTCCTTTTTTAGTCTTTCATCTTTTCTTTGATTTGCTTTTTCTTTTCTTTTTGTGTATTTTGTTTTTCTTCCAGGCTCACCTGTGTGCCTACTGTAGCCATTTCCTTTGCCCTGGGTTCAGGGACTTCTTGCATCCTAGCCTCGTCTTTCTTTTGTTCGTAATTTTGGAAGACCCTCACTAGTTTTTGTGCTTCCCTCTCCAGATTTTGCACTGCTTTTTTTATTTCCAGTTTTGTGTTTACTGTTTCCGAAGTCCTTTACCAGGTTTTTGCATATTTTCATCATTACCTTTACTTGGTTTTCAAGGAGTTCGAGTTCGTTAGACTTTTCAAATATCCTTTTTATCTCTGTCTGTGTTATTTTTATTCATTCTCTTCTTTTTTTTTGCTTGTAGCGCATCATTAGCTTCATAGTCCGCTCCTATATTGACTCGTTTTGGAGTACGAAAAAATTTCTCTATCCCTCCAATGCTGTGCCTTTTTGGTGTATCCATATTTTCCAGAGTTTTAAAGATGTTCATTGTCACCTCTGTTTTTTCTTTTTCTATGTCATGTGGTGGTGTCTTATTCACTTTTGCTTTCGTACCAAAAGCTTTTTCCTCTTGTTTACTTTTGAAAACAGATTCACTGCTTCCAGCGCCTTGTTCTACAATCCTCTGTCTATTCTTACGTCCCCTCGTTTCCTATTGTGTTTAAATTAATTTCATCCAGCTAGAATCCCACGAGTTGGGAAGAAGTATATGTCCAGCGGGGCAGTGGTCCCCTATCCCGCTTAACCTTGCCCCACGTATCCTCAGCACCACCTTAGCTCTGTGGCATTTTTCTCAGGTTTTTTTCTCGGGGCTTTAAGGTGCCTGTCTTTATGTGCCAATTTTAGTCCGTTTCGGCTATTTGATTTGACCGGTACCACCCATATCTGGGAAGCATTCCCCTATCCTACCACCCGAAGATGCGCTGGATGGGAGATTGGAAACTTCACACCAGATCTCGTTATAACCTAAGAACCTAAAATAATACCCACTATTAGCTAAGAATGTGAGTTAATAGTGGGAGTTTTTACTTCTATAAGTTATTGGTGGTTTAGTTTTTACCAATCTTCTATTATAATACTTAATGATTGTCTTATTATGCTTTTGGCGTGCATTTCCATATTATTCTTCCGTGCTGGATATCTAATATTTTATTTAGTACTGCATGGTTATGTAGATATTCCACACACCAGTTCAGCACTTATCAAGTTTCCTTCTAAAACTTTATATTTTCAAATTGGACATGCATTTATTTAAAATTTATAGTTAGTTTTGTTAATAGGTTCCAAGAAATAGCGACAATACACTCAAGATATTCGTTGCGTCTTGTGATTCTAAAATAAAAGTTAAAATATCTAAAAAGGAGAAGGTGCTATTAACAAAAAACGTTACCAAGTATAGCATTATATCTCTAAATTCTGTAGAAGTTGGAACACGATACAACGTTAGGATTATACTAAATAGTCAAGATATCGATAATAATTCTGTCATACAGGTAATGTTTTTACGTCATTATTAAAATAGCACAAACAAATGTGTCATCAGCTTTTACTTTAAAGAGTATTTAGATCAGGTTTATGAAAATAAATTAATTATTTTATTTCAATTACATGAATGAAATAATTGATTGAAATTAAAAATATCTATAAAATAAAGAAAGAATAAATATTGTATGGCATGGCAATTGTAATGCAATGGGACTAAATTGGCAGCAATTATAAGGCGATTTTAAATCAGTTACTAGAAATGTGACCAAGTCAAGTGTGGTCAAGGTTCTTACGTCATTATAATGACGTTCTAATAATCTGATTTAAAAATGTTTGGTTTATATTGACACTAACTTCACAATGGGTATAACACTGGCAGATATCATGAATTTTTATATGTGTGTTATGTAAGATTTGTTCTTGAATTTGTAAGGATAAAAAATAAATTTGTTTTGTTTACTGATCATGGATGAAGAGAAAATTGGTATTATAGTTACTTTGGCCTCTGAAATTTTATCAAAACTTTAGCCATATTCATTAATAAATCCGACCTTGAAAATAAATTGGCTATTCATTTGCAGAAACCTTAAATGCGTCCATATCTAGGTACTCAGCCAGGGTTGCCAGACGTCGCGCTTCAGGCGTAATTGTCCCGCTTTTTAACTTGCTGGCACGCGTTACGCCAAAGTACAAAAATGATCCGCATTTCACCTTATTGCTACGTTTTTTAAATTTAAAGTTATGTACAATGATATTTTTGACAATGTTTGACCTGTTTTTGAGAAGCTCAGAAAAAGGAATCTGATGGTTTAAATAAATATAAGCGGAGGACCTTTTTTTAGATCTCTACAAAAAAAGGAGCTTATTTTATAAAAATACCTGTTTTTTTAACCTGATACCTACCCTATCGTCACCATTGTCCCACTTTTCCCTTTCGTAAATCTTTCTTTCTATTTTACAAATAACACAACCAAACAATGATTGAATAATTAAAAAGTAAAAGTTTTACATTTGTCATTTCATTTGACATTTTATACCTGTGATGACCACGTTTTTACTGTAGTCATGTTAAACTTGACTATTTCAAGACAATATTCAATATGACGTCATTGTTTTTGATTTATATCAGTGTAGTCAATCATATTTAAGACATAGTATCTGATTTAAAATCGCCTATTGTTATCTCGCTACTATGAAGACTGGAGATAAGGAGGCGAATCGGCATACTCAAAATATGGTCCCAAAAAACGCATGCTAATTGAGTTTCTATAATTAACCGCATGGGCGCTGGTACTGCATACGGTGTTCAAAATACATGGCTTCTTATGGGAATTAAACATAATTTTATCAAAATAATAAAAATAAACTTGTTTATAGCTAAATAAAGCACAAAAAATACTGTTGTATTTATTTTTGAATAAGTCTTGCATGTTTTAATTGATAAATTATTTAATTTGATTTATATAAAATACAAATTAAGTATGTATGACCAAATTCAAAAAGGTTTCTTAAATGCTGAAATTTGATAGTACAATTTTGTGGCAATTTTTTTTTTTTTTTTAGTTAAACCAATATATATAGTTTTAAGAGCAAAATAAAACACAGTGAACAGATTTTTTATTGTTGTAATACAAGTATAAAGGTATATTTGGGAAGGTACATGGTATTACCTCATCCTTTAATTTCAGCTTTCCCCTTTTTATTTTGCTAACATCAGTAAAAATAGTCTCATAATATATTCTAAAAAGTATAGAACAGCATCATCTCTAGAAAGTGCTTTATCGGCATTAGGAACGATATATATGCTGCCACTGTCCTAAATGTTTAGTATCCTATAAAAAACATTTACAATGACACAATTGGGGTACAAAAAAATAACACTAGCAACTCTTTATCTAACATTAAAACTCTGTAAAAAATAAATTTTCTTTTCTAGTAAGTTAAATTTAATGCATAATTAAATAAGTCAGCATCTATGACTGTAAAATTTTATATTATAGAAACTTGTAATAAAATAAACTACACTTCGTAAGATACATATTATGACTAGTTTACAATAAATATTATTTTCTTCAAAAGGAAAGACTCGTATTTCGTGCAAAACTTTTTAATTAATAAATGCAAAGCGCTTTCGGCATTGTGCCATCATCAGTGCTTATTGTCCACAAACAAGCATATCCACCAAGTTCTTAGTCATCCTCGCTCCAAATTTAAATATTTCTGGAGATTCACAACTTGCTAAATCATAATTATTACTATTAGAAATATTTTCAAATTTTAATTGATTTATACATTCAATTTTATTTTTAACCGACTGTTTATAAAAAAAAAATAAAAATAAAAATGAATGTATAAATCAATTTAAATTTGAAAATATTACTAATAGTAATAATTATGATTTAGCAAGTTGTGAATTTCCAGAAATATTTAATTTTGGAGCGAGGATGACTAAGAACTTGGTGGATATGCTTGTTTATGGACAATAAGCACTGATGATGGAACAATGCCGAAAGAGCTTTGCATTTATTAATTAAAAAGTTTTGCACGAAATACAAGTCCTTCTTTTTGAATCTAAACTACGTGCATACAGTTGTCAACCTTCTTTGGTTATTTTAATAAATATCATATTTAGACATGAATACATTATTTTACTAACATTAGAAGCTTTAAAAAGACATTGAAGTGATTTTTTCTTGTGTTTTACATTTGATTTTTATCCTGTTTTACAATCTGAAACGACGTAAATCTTGCTTTGATGTTTTTTGTCACTCATGTTACTTGTACTCAGGTACTTTTTTCACATTATTTTGATTCTTTTCACCAATTTTTTAAAAAATCACTTCATTTTACATTGACTTACATAGAAAATTGACACTGACGTCATTCAACATGTCAACTACAGTCAATTTCGCAAACTTTATAAAAAGGACAGAAATTTGAAATTTTACCATTGCCGATTCGTCTTCTTCTCTCTAGTCTTCATACTCGCTACAACGTGTGACTAGGATGTCCGTGATCATGCGAAGCGAGTAGAATAAGATCTGTATGTAATATTTAAAATAATTGAAAGACTTTTTTATTTCAGATTCTTGCTTCATCGAGAAAAGACTTCACTTTATCATTTCCTCTTATGCCTTCTGATACACGGATTAGGGAATACGAATCTTTAAAAACATGTAATAGCGTTACAATTGGTTGGTATGTACCACCACAAACGCAATTTCAACACTATTATTGTTTTTTAGTAAAAGAAGGCCAAATTTTGGATATTAAAGAGGAGAGAGGTTTAAATCAATGTGATATTCAGAGGGCAACGAGGGCATCAGATTTTGTGCTTCAATATTGTAAATATCTAGATTATAGAGATCAGTAAGTTATATTTTATACTGTATTAAAGTCTACTAAAATTATTAATTTTGCAAAATATTATGAAGGTTCTTCTCAAAAAGATTTGGAGAACATTTGTTCATTTACAAAATTCGTCGTTTATTTTTTTAAAACGACAGTAACACTTAAACTGGACTAACCCAGGGAGGTATTGTTTATGGAAATTTGGGTCGATCTTTTCATCTCTGTGTAAGGCTACATGTAAGTTTACTTGACAGATTAACAAACAATAGCCCTATAGTTTAACCAGCAAGTAGTTACTTTCAACTTTACTCAGAGGTGAAAAGACTGGCCCTTAATATTTTAACTACCTGTATGTAGATTTATTGGAATTACGGGGTGGTCCAATAAGTATCTCAGAAACGGTCAAAGGTAATAGGTTCAGAGGCGGCTCGTGGCATAGTCTACGAGGAGGCTACTTTTGAAAGGCACGCCCTTTACAAAATACAAAAAGCAGAAATACTACATTGTATTTTAATAGAAATATGTATTTGTATTAAGTATATAGGGTGTGCCAACCTTCTCGTACTCTAGATCACGAGCCGCCTTTAAATAGGTTGGAACTATGGACTGTAGAAGTAATGAGAACTATTTCTGTTTACAAAAAGTGTCAATCAAAATAAGTATGAAAATAAGATGGCGCTACTGTACCAGAAGGACGCTGAAAGTTGTGACAATCGATAATTCAGATCAGACAATCACACCAAGATGTCTTAGTTTTATATAGATTGCTCATTAATATGTAAATAGTACATTTCAAAGTACACTTTTTCATTGTTTTCCAATAACTTGTAAAGTTGTAGTTATTTTAGTTGTTAATTTAGTACTTGTATATCTTTTAAAGCAATGCTCTGATGATAATGACACAACTCCGCAGGGTTTGAATAGAACCTGATGTAGGATCTGGTCAGACTAGACGTCGATTTTGGCAGGATACGCTACTTTAGGTGAAAATGTACTTCAGTTCACCGAGATATACCTTCTATAACTCTATAACAGAACAAAGAAAAGAGCCGAAAGTGCTGTGTATGATTCATATCTACACCGACGGTTCTAAAGCAAAACAAGGCTCAGGATGTGGAATATACTACAGATCCTGAAACCTAAACATAAGATGAGCTGAGACCAATTGTGCTAGTGTAATTTAAACAGAGCTCACGAAGATTCTTAAAGCAGCAACAGAAGTTACCAAAAACAATCACTGTAATGAACATGCTTGTCTATACAGATAGCAGATAAGTACTGGTCACCCTGGACCGACTACGAATTTACTCAGAGTTAATACTAAAATGTCAGGAAGATTTAGTCGAAAAATCCATTAAGCCTTGGTTTCTTTGAACACTTCGTCGCGGTGAGCGGACAGTCCGTCAACCGTCGCGTTTTGACGATTTTATCCAACCAGAGTATTTAAATGGGAATGGTTTTATTGAATCCGCTTAGCTGAGCAGGACGGCGTCATGCCGCTGATTTGTCGCGAAGAGTCGGTTGATATCTGTTGAGTTTGATATCAGCGGAATCGTCGGCGTGTGCGGAGACTATATTGTTATTAATTTTAAAACAATAAGTGACAAATTTACACATACAGATGACATCATGACTTTATTTTTAGATTTCTTGGAAATTATGTCCTTTATAAAACTCAACATGAATTCAAAAAGATCTGTAGAAAGTCTAAAATACTCCCTAAATTTGGTTTCATTTCCAAAAAGCATCCGCTGCACAGTGATATTAAAGGCACCTTCTGTATCGCGACACAAAAACAACTCATCCACTGGCTTATTGGAAACTTTGACGGTTGCAATTGCCAGTACCCCTTATTCTTCCTCTTCCAAAAATATTAACAACGCAAACAATTTATTTGCATCCATTTCAGTACCTTTCGTTTACATTCATAATACATAAACAGCACGTACAGACATAGAGAAAGTATTATTTTCTATATTTTTTAACAAACCACCTCGGGCGAAAATTGCTGTCCTCAGCGGTCGACGGACTGTCCGCTCACCGCGACGGAGTGTTCAAAGAAACCAAGGCTTTAACAATACGGTCACGTTAAGAAGGATTAAACGTCTCGCTACATCAAAAGGTAACCGTCTTGCTGATTCACTAGTCAAGAAGGCAACCAACCAAATACTTTTTGGATCGGACACTTCTATTGGACTGACAACATCGGTAGTGACAAACCTAATTAAACAATATGTTCTTGTGTAATTCAAGGAAAAATGGAATTAAACAAGAAGCTTTAGAGTTGACAGGGAGCTTTTAAGTTACCCTTGTAACGTGCCTATTTGCCAGCTCAAAATACTAGATTTTAAATTCGAAGTACCTCTGTCTGTTGTATCCCCAGCCCTGTGAAAGTTCTCCTAATATCTTAATTTTGCGACTAGGTAGGCCTTCTCCAACTAGTCGTCTCTTATACGAAACTAGTTTAAAATATCCGTTTTTTATTCCTTCCAAGCACTGTTTGTTCTATGGTCCCGTGGCTAAAAAATCTATTCGAACCGCTCTGCAGCAGGAGGTACTTTTCAAACGTAGCAAATAATAATAATAAATAAGGAACTCGTCCGAATATGGACCATGCATTTAATATGGGCCACACAGATAATTTATAATGTATCTATTTCTATGTAGCTCAAATTGGACGGTGTTTTCTTAAAATTTTTAACATCTACTCTTTAGTAGCTCTCAGGTAAAAATGATTGTGTTTATTTTTGTCGATTTCGAAATATAATCAAAGGTAAAGTTTACAAGTATAATTATTATATTTCTGTTAGTATATTTAAACTACTTTTTTAGTGCAATGCGATCGCAATACTCATACATTTTATAATTCTAATTGATTTCTGGTTTATTTAGAAAATTTTGAGTTACAATCTCACTTTTATTATATCATAGCCATGTTGAAATATGGTCCTCTTCATGGGTTTTCAATATGGGCCAGGGGTCATATTGGGGACACGTTACTTTAATTTAACTTTTAACTGGTAAATATGCCTGAATCATCCATTCAAAAATAGAAAATATGTGTGCAAAAACGTAAGGAAGATCTGGAGTAAACGAAGCAGAAAAATGCTGCAGCCATACTACAGATAAAACGGATTTAACTGAAATATCCAGTAACTTCAACAATTCTTCTAGTTGTGAACTGGAACCAGAACCCCAAGAAAGCACTTCAAAAAATTTTGTTTTTTGTTGTGCAAATATTTATTTTTTGCTTTTAACATGATTTTAGTATATGGCCCATATTCCAAACCGTCTTGTCCGGTTTACCAAAAATACATTTTTTTCTATTTTGTCCAGTAAAATGTATTTATTTTAGGATAAACTAAAAATCTTTCTAAAAGTCTATCTACTGTTGTTGCAAGATTTTTCAGTACATTACATTCTCATTTTAGTCAAAACAAGGCAGAAATTTCAGAATATAAGAAAAGGGGGGGCTATATTCGGACTAGTTCCCTTAATATTAATAATAACAAACACTATTTGAAGATGAAAATTTTTTTTATTTTTTTTTATTTTTTTTTTAAATATTTCTTTTGTCCTTCATGTCTCTTACCTGTCTCTTACACCACCAGGGTATACCTATTTTTCACACCCCCTTAATTATAATAATGTTTGAATGAATATCAAATTTTACCCACGAAAAATCTAATTTCGAATTTACCTAACTCTTTTTCAATTTCATTCGAAACATTTGGTATGTTACAATTATTAGTAAGTATCAAGGAAATCATCTAATAAAGTTACTTATAGCAGTTCCTACTGAAACTACTGTTTGTTCTGCAAGATTAATGAACTTTTCTTGTGATTGGTACCTCTTTAAAATCCAAAACCTTATGTCCCCAAATAAATTTTCCAATGCACCCTGATTTAATATGCTAAATTTTAATAATTCAACTTTTTTTCTTCGTCTAAATATAGCCCGTCAGATAGTGACAGGTTTAGGTGCCCCATTTTCGCATACAAGCCTCGAAGAGGGTTGAAAAGTACATCGATTTTAAGTAGAATAAAAGGAAATTTACGAGTAGCTGCTGAGGATAACACATGGAAAATTCGATTTTCCCTAACAAAACCAAATTTGTTGCCAATTTTTCCACGCAAGCCGTTTTCACTATATGATTAATTAATAGAACTAGGCTTCGGAAAACCGAAGGCTTTAATGTTGTAAGTAGCTAAAGGGTTGAAATAAGGGCGTAATCTTCTAAGGAAAAATCTAGATTTTGCCCGATTTTTCCACACAAGCCCATCGAATGTATGAAAACGTACGTCGTCATTAGTCCGAAAAACATACTTTCTTGAATGACTCGAATGTATGAGTCCATTTTGGGATCGGAAATTTTTTCTGATAAGGAAAATGAAATTTTCCATGTGTTATCCCCAAGAGCCACTCGTAAATTTTCCTTTATTCTACTTTTTAACCCTCTTCAAGGCTTGCATTCGAAAATAGGAAACCTAAATTGGTCACTATATCTAACGGTCTAATAACTCTACAATCCTCTAATAGGTAATGAAAAAGCGGGACACTGCCGTTTCAGCAAAAGGGCCACAAATTTTTTAGAGCAACGCTTAATTTTGTTAGAAATTTAACCAAAACTTAAAAATGAGGACAAAAAACAAAATATTCTTTATTAGAATAACAAAATAAACGCTTTACAATAAAACAACAGAAGACATCATTATTTATACACTAGATATAGGTTACTTAATGATAGGCGGTAATTCCAAGGGCGCATGCTTAAACTAAGTAGAGAAGTTTAACGATCGAAGTTAACTTGATCTTATTGTTAATTTTAATAAAAATAGTTATTTTTCCTCAAAAACGAAGTAAGATCAAAAAAGTTGTATTTTTAGCTGCTTAATCGAAAAAAATATATATAAAAGTTGAAAAGTCAGTGGCGTACATTTTTTTGTAAATATTATTCATAAGACTGCTCCTCATCGCGACGCCACTGAAACTCATAATTATCTGCTAGTCAGTGTAA